CCTCTGCAGTGAATGGGTGCCGTCAGAATGAGAGTCCAAACAGCTGATAAAAACATCACAATAATCCACAAGTAATTCACACCACTCCAGTTAATCAGTTAACATCTTGAGAAGCCAAAAGCTGCATATTTGTAAGAAACATGATTAATTTGTTTGTACATATGATGCGATTTGAGTTTTTCCTTTCTCTTTGGAGTGTTACAAGCTCTTGGTGCATAAAGAAGATCTGTACAGTTGCAAAGACTAATGTCTCAAATCCAAAAAGATATTCTTTATAAAAGTTAAGAGTCAGCCACGCCTACCTAAAACGGTGATTTTTTTAACCTTAAACCGCATAAACACATTTCATTACACCAAATACACAAAATACTGTTCTTTTTAGCAGCATTATATGACCCCTTTAACTTCAAACCGTTGTTTCCGGCTAAAATACGAGTCCATAATCAATAACACTTCATCCAATGACAAAATCAATCCCCTGTTGTCCTCCCACATTTTTGTTTAGAACTGTTTTCACATATAAACAGTGCTTGATCTGTGCATATTTCTCTACTGATTCAGACGAGATGACTTTTTCACTGGAGGAAACAATATTATGGATTGAGGACTCATATTTTAGCCGGAAGCAAAGATTTAAAGTTAAAAACGCCTTGATGTATTTGTTTCTTATAAACAATCCGTTAATAGATAGACTGGAGTGGTGTGGATTATTGTGAAGTTTTTATCAGCTCAGTTTTATCAGTTTGGACTCTCATTCTGACGGCACCCATTCACTGCAGAGGATCCATTGGTGAGAAAGTGATGTAATGCTACATTTCTCCAAATCTAATGAAGAAACAAACTCATCCACATCGTGTATGGCCTAAGGGTGTGCACATTTTCAGCAAATTTTCATTTCTGAATGAACTTCACAAAACTGGTGGCAATTGCGGTTTAAAAGAACTTTTGGTTAGATTTGTGTAGTGAACAAGGAACTAAAACCACAAGAACAAGGAAACAGACCAACAAATGTCTGACCTTTTGCAGATGTGCTGCAAGCCGCTGCGGTACTCGTGCTCGAAAGCAGGCACAATCATCTGGTGCCTGCGGAAGCGACTGACCTCCATCCGTGTCAGGGCAGGGGTCGGTGGGTCACGCCACTCTGGCACAAAGATGATGAAGGACAGCGGCTCGCTGGAGTGTTCCAGAAGATCCTGAGAAAGACAGAGAGACAATGAGAATCCGTATGGGAATGTATATGTAATATATTCTGATCTAACGACTTTGGGATGACGTTAAGAGTCACTCACCTCAAAGTGTTTCACCATGGCATCCATGAGTTCCTCACAGAACGGAGGGTTGGCCTCAAATGAGCCGCTGGCTGGAGAGAAGCTGAGAAATGGCCTGTGAAGACAGAGATGAGTGATACAATATAGCAAATTAACCTCTCTGAAAGAAGCCATGCTTGCTTTTATAAAACAACTGAAAAACTGAAAAATTACAAAAGTCAGAAATGTTAGGATGGTGTTTTATAAAACCGATAATGGTTTTGGTTTTATAATTTTTAATAAAATTAATACATTTTAAAACCAATTAAATTTATTTAAAATAAAAAGAACATGATACTAAATTAAAAATAGATAAAAAAAAATAAAATAAATAAACCCCAAAAATATAGCAATAATTGCAATGTCCAAAACATTATGGTACATTACTGTGGCTCATTCAGTAACATTTAGCAACTCATTTGCAAGACATTTTATAATACACAATTGTTCAATAAACAAGCATCATTCTGAAATAAGTTTATCCTCAAAAGCTGTTGGAACATCACTTTTCATTGCCTTTTCAAACCACAAAAATAATACTAATGACCAAGAACACATTTACATACCCTCGAGATCCAAAGAAGCCATCAATGTCTGGAAACGCGGAGCAGAACTGCTTGAAATAGCAGTTAAGAGGAGAAGCGAAGCACTCGAATGTCACTCCAAACTGTTTGTTGAGAGCCTCAAAGACGGGAACAGGCAGCGCCCCCTGCAGACCAGACCCCTCGTTCACTCCGGACCCAAACATCACCTGTGATTCACAAGAGGGCGGAAACACACGTTGATGCTGCATTTGGCTTCCTGATTGGCTACCAATGTCTGTAATATGAGTATTACCTGGTATCTTTTGTTAAGGCACCACACACGAGATAGGAACTTTTCAAACCTCAGGTCATCAATACAGCTGTACCGATATAAGAGTTCCTGTTTGTGCCAGAGAAATAAAGGTAACAAAATAAGAATCCAAAGTATCCAACCTTAATCGGTTGTGAGCTAGGGCTGGGAAAATAAATCGATGCATCGCGAATCGAGAAATGATTCAGCATCGATTCTGAGATTTTCCGAATGCATCGTGATTCTTTCTCAAGTTGATTCTGAGCTTAGTTTTGAACAGCAGATGGCACTGCATGCTTTAGAAACAGCTGTACTCTGCTTGTTTCCAAATCCTTACACACACTCGAACCTAAAATAATCATTCATAAAATTCGAAAAGGTTGAAGCGAATTACAAGGGTGTTCACAGTGGGCTGTTTTTACATTAATCTCGCATCATAAATGCATTCTGAGCCGAGGTGAAATTACATGACTCTTCAGCACTCTTCTTCATGAGCATTTGAGTGTGTGGATAAAAAGTAGATTAGAGCGCCATCTGCTGTTAAGCTCAGAATCGATTCCAGAGAGAATCGCAATGCATTCGGAAGATCTCAGAATCGATCCACGAATTGATTCTGCATCGATTTATCGCCGCAGTCCTATTTTGAGCTAGTCTTAGCATATACACACCAGTTTGCTGAAATGACCGCGGTTGACCTTCACCATTTCTCCTTTATACCGCAGACAAGCAACGTCATTCTCGAAGTGCAGCTCAACACGCGGCTGAGGAGGAGACGGGATGGACAGTCTGACTGGATAACAATACACCAACCGGGCCTGGACCTCCGTCGGCTCTGTGCCGTCCACTTTAAAGCAAGAAGAATAAATCACAAAGGCTCTCAAGTCAAACCTACAGTGAAGGGCCAAAAAAAATCATCCTATTTTTGTTGGAGCTGGTCGATTTTTGTCCACAATAAAACCCTCACTGGCCGTTGTCCAGATTCACAGACATCTCCAGCTCCTACCTGAGATGTTGCACTCTTTAAGCAGAGTGAGGTGAGCCTGCCGGATCCTGCGCACATATTCTGTGTAAATACAGTCTGTTATGGCTTAAGTGAACGTAAACAGGTGGGTGAAAACTGAACGTGTGTCAAGTGTTACAAGCATACCTTCCGTCTTAAATGGACAGCATTTCTAATTAAATACATATCTGTGTCATTAATGTTAACCAACAAAAGATGTTAAATAAATGTATACTTCTTAAGTAAACTTACTGTATCTGAAAAATGAGTTTAATTTGTATCTCTACCAAAAAATGAAAATCGTCATCATTTATTCCAAATTCAATCCTTGATTCAAATTTCTCATAAGCTTAATTGATTACTGCTTAAAATGTAATTTATTCCAGTGATGCGCAGCTGAATTTTCAGCATCATTACTCCAGTCTTCAGTGTCACATGATCCTTCAGAAATCATTCTAATATGCTGATTTGCTGCTCAAGAAACAGTTATTATTATTAACGATGTTGAAAACGGTTGCGATGCTTCATATTTTTGTGAATACATTTAGCGTTACACATTTTTTCAGAATTCTTTGATTAATAGAAAGTTCAAAAGAACAACATTTATTTGAAACAAATCTTGTATAACATTAGAAATGTCACTTTTGGCTTACTGAATAAAAGTATTAACTTCTCCGGTTTCCTTACATTAACATTGCACTGCACTCATAAACCATTAACGCTAACCCAGACTGGAATTACTGGGATTATAAAACAATAAGTAACAAAGCTACTAACTTCACTACATTTTCAGCAGCATAAAAGTAGAAAACAACAAAAATTCTCGCATGTAGAATGTAAAGCTTTTTTATGGGAACATTCGGTGAGATGTGAAAGCAGCGGTGTGCTCATACCCTCACGCTGAGAGCACAGCTCGTGGTAGTGCTGCCGCAGCTTGGTGGTGAGTTGAGCTCTCTGCAACTCGATCTCAGGGTGTGGAGGCAGGTGGTTCGCTGGGGCTCGCTCGCGGATCACAGCGTTGGTCTGAACGTCCAGGTCCCAGTAGACTCTGAAACACAAAGACCAGTTCAGACACGTCATGTCTACAGAGCTGAACCGCTGTCAGGATATCTGAAATCACTTTTACATTTAACCTTTTAACTGATGCTTTTAGCCAATGCTACTGATTAGGGATGTAACGATTCACTCAACTCATGATTCAATTCACGATTCGATTCACAATTTTTTTATTTTATTTTTTTTACAAAATGAGATTTAAGACAAATTATAAACAAAATGTGTCCTTTTATTATCTTAATTGACTTGCCTGGTTAAATAAAGGTTAAACAAAAAAAAAAAAAGCTATTAGGAAGAAAACGGACCTTTGGCCTCTTGAAACTGTTAGGGCCTGCTTGAGCATCCTCCGATGGATGTCTTTTACGCTGACCGTTGCCCAGACCGGTGTCACTCATTGCCTCGCCAGAGGCTGGAGCCGCGTTCAAGCCCAGAGGATCGGACTAAAACAATGGCAAAAACAGGACAGTGTTGTTATTGTTAACTTAAAACTATTAGTTATCTGTGGAAAACAAAATTTACTTTTATGCATTTAGCGGATGCTTTTATCCCAAGCGACTTACAAAAGTCGCTATAATAAGGAAAATATAAATATTAGATGAAAAATATTTACTCAACTTAAGTAAAAAAATTAAATGTTTAAGCTGAAGCAGTAAAATTAGAAAAACAAATAAAACAAACAAAAATATACTATAATTATACAAAAATATCAATACTATAATTATATAATACTAAAATAATACTGATAAGCACTGATAAACAAACCAAACAGCACATATGACAATGCGATTACTAAAATTAAAATGAAAAGTATCAATTTGAAAATATTTAAAAAGCCAATTCAAAATATTAATACTATACATAAAAAAATACTAAAATAACACAGATAGGCCCAGTTTCACAGACAGGGCTTAGGTTAAGCCAGGATTAGGCCATAGTTCAATTAGCACATTTAAGTAGTTTTTAGAAATATGCCTTAAGATAAAAAAAAATTACTGGTGTGCATCTTGAGACAAAACAATGAATCTGACATATTTTAAGATCAGTCGGTGCAAGTTTCCTTCAGTTAAAACAGCCCAGACATGCATTTTAGTCTGGGACTAGGCTTAAGCCTTGTCTATGAAACTGGAGGATACAGTTTTATGTATATCAAAAAACCCGTATAACAAAAAATCCAAAGAACATAATGTAATAATTAAAACTTAAAATTTAAATGAAAAAAATATATATATAAAAAAAAAAACTGTATATCCAATATCTAAAATAAACAAAAAAACAAACAGAACTGTATACCAATAAACACTGTTAAAGTGTTTCCCCTAAATGTTACTTACATCCACAATAAATAGATTTAATTGGCTCTGAAGCCTGAACTTACAATGACATCATGCTGGCCCAGGACCGGCATCTCCCACAGCGACTGATTAGTGAATCGATTGAAGTAGTACGGCCGATTCTCCCTCTTACTCCAACATTTAGACCATCCAGCCTGAACCAGCTCATCTGTAAGTGAAACTAAAAATCAAACGCACAGGACACAGCAGCCCCAAACGGAGCACTGAAGAACACAGGGAGTCCCATCAGTCATTTAAAGGGTTACTCCACCCCAAAATGAAAAGTTTGTCATTAATCACTTACCCCCATGTCGTTCCAAACCCGTAAAAGCTTCGTTCGTCTTCGGAACACAATTTAAGATATTTTGGATGAAAACCGGGAGCACATTTAAGTAGTTTTTAGAAATATGCCTTAAGATAAAAAAAAATTACTGGTGTGCATCTTGAGACAAAACAATGAATCTGACATATTTTAAGATCAGTCGGTGCAAGTTTCCTTCAGTTAAAACAGCCCAGACATGCATTTTAGTCTGGGACTAGGCTCCTTTAAAGCCTGAGAGATACACACCTGGCAGCTCTTGGATGGGTTTGCTGGTTGAGGGTGATAAAGGAGCCGCCTGTGACGTGGACCCGGTGGGCGACATGACCATCGCCGAGTCTGCCTTTTCTGTTCCGTGGTTTTCACTCGTCATAGCTCCTCATTTGTCCTGTCTTAAGACAGAAAATATTGCATCTTTACAAAATGCAAGCATTGTAATTCTGAGAGCACTACATAGAGTGTTTGGGGTCCCAGAGTCCATGTATTAAAAATTAAATAGGAATAAATGCAAACCAATTTTCACATTATAAGCTTAGATTGTGATAAAACAGAAGATTACATTTCAATAATATAGGTATGAATTGGTCTCAAGAACATATTAAAATAATTTGAATATATTAATTATTCCAGAGTACTGGGGTCTCAGCTCCCCTAAAACAAAGTCAACAATACGAGCCGATTCAATTGGATTATATTTAGCTATTAATCCCAAAAGGCAATTTAGTTGTGGACATACCAATAAAACAGAGACTGAAGCAGAAAACTGTAATCAAATAGTTGAGTAAGAGGTAAGAAAATGATGACAACATTTTCTGTTTTGAGGTGAAATATGCCTTTAAGTCGGCTGAGGTGAATGTGAAAGAAAAACTTCCCAGGAAAATAATGAAACTTAAACATAATAATGAAAGTGAAACTTTGGATCCTCCATTTGTTAAACATTCACTAATAGAGTTAAAAAGTGTTTCAAACCACCATTTTATTCATAAAACTGATTCCCAAAGAGTAAAGTACTTTAAAAAAAGCCCGCACACTCAAAAATCACAAGCTTGGCATTGAAAATGGTCAACATGTGACCGAAACGTTTGCCTTGTTTTTCTCAGTAAATTGCTTACACTGTTTTCACCTCGCTTGGGATTTTTGTTTTTTGAGAGTGTGCTGGCTTTTTAAAAAAAATTTTTTTTTTTAAAGTACTTTACTTTTGGGAAACTTTTTTTGGTCTACGCACCTCGGTTGGATTGTTTTGAAGACACGAGTCTCTGGCTGTTATTCAGAAAACTGAGCCATGACCTACCAAAAACTAAAGCAATATTTATGAATATGGTAATTATACTGTAAGATAATATATTTCAAAGCATAGTATTACTAGACAATAAATGCACAATTAAAACTAACATGAACTAATCCACGACCAGTGCTCTAAAGCTTTGTACAATAAAGGACTGTACAAATTTTAATTTTAATTTTACTATACTAACAATAATTGTATTGACTATGGCATTTGCAAAAAGCTATGATTACCGTGGTATTATTTTGTATGGGATTTCCAGGGACCAAGCAAAATAATATGTTAAAAGGTTATTATTACTCAGTCATCACAAGATAAATATTCAGTATTACGTTAAAGTGATGGTAATACCATGTACGTGTAAAAAAAAAAACTGAGGAACTTCCCAGAATACCATGGTACGGTGGTAAATGTAAGGAAATGGCATAATGGTATTACGCTTAAAATTACAGTGGCCCGAGCTGACATGCGTTTAAATACTGACAAAAAGTAATTTATGGTTAAATCTCAGAAAATACCCGAACACAGGGTTTTTCCACAAATAAACCTTACAAAAAGTATTATGGCGGTAACATGGTACGGTGATGGTATCGGAGACTAATACGCTTCTACCACCGTATTACCGTGGGTTTTTTTGTTTCGTAAACCCAGGTATCACACCATACATCTTGTATCTATTCTACGCGAATGTGTTTACTGCGTTTATCGTCGTTAATAAGAGCGCAAATGAGCGAAAGAAGGGCACGCATGCGCCTGCTACGCCGCCCACCCCAGATCGAGCCAAACCCCGAAAACAAACCCGAAGGAGGAGGAGAAAAACATCCAACAAAGAGCTACGGCAGCGCGAGCCGATGTGCAGGAGAGAGCGGGTAAAATAAGACCAAGTGGCGGAGCATCTGGCTTCATTTGGGCACAGAAAGGACGGGGATACATAGGGCCATCACCACAGTGTGTCAAACAGCTCATTTATTGAGTTTAAACCCCGTCAATCTCCGACCGTTACGACCACAAATTTTAGGCGCCACTTTTGCTTCGTAGAAACGGTCGACAAAATGGCGCGCGGTCTCTCATACTAGGCGCCGCGCTCACTGCGCAGTATAAGGTCTGTTTACTGCGTGCATTACGCGCGTTTGCAGCAACCGCGGGGATATTATTGTGCCCCGTGCATTCCGCCACACGCCTATAGGTCTGATGCTGCTCTTCGATGGATGAATCCCTTACCTTGGAGAGGTTTGGTGGGAGTCTTCAATAGGCTTTGCGCTATCCGGTTCGGACCCGCCTCCGCCTCTCCCTCCCCACCGACTCCGCCATCTTGTATCGGGCACTCGGACGCGGTTAATGCGCATGCGCGGCTCCGCAGTGGAAGGCGTCAAAGCCGCGCGGCCATTTGTAGAGAGGCGTTCATTCAGTCAGTCTACTCTACTGGGAAATGAAACAAACATAAACAAATCATTTATCTTAGGAAACTATGTGAATGTTCTTAATTGATCAAGGGTGTTTGTATGTGGGTTGCTAGGTTAATCAGGAGATTGTAGATAGAGTGTCAATGGTCCATTTGAGATATAGGTGGCGGTAATGCACTTATAAGTCTGCGATCCGCCGTGAAGCAACAAGAAGAAGATGTTCTTCATTGTTGTCCTGAAAATGTTTGTACGTTACATTTACTTCAATAAAATGGCGGTGTCTATGTTTTGAATTTCTTTAGTAATTTTTATTCGTTTTTTTCCCGTCCAAAACAGGCTATTTCCATTTAGCTTTATTTCAGTTATACTTTTAGCAAATTAAGTACTTAAACTTTTTAAATTAAAAAGTTAGCTGCCAAGGCAACATTTCAGTTCAACATTTTCATCTAATATTTATTTATTTATTCCGTTTTAATTCCGTTACTAATAATTATAGGCTATTAATATTTTTAGCAAACACTTAGTTTTAGTTCAATTTACTTAATGGCATTAAAAATGTCTATGTTTTGAATTATTATTTGAATTTTGAATTATTATTATAAGAAACCACTTCAACGTCATCTTTTATTTATATAGCACAAGTGCTTCACAAAATTAAAAATCAAAATACACACATAACTTACACACAAATAAAACAAACACTTGTAAGGGGTTCCCATAATCAAAATTTCCCTACTTCAAAAGTTTTAAAAATCTTATCAATATGCATCAAATAAAGGCTGTTTAAATGATTGTTTTCTTATGAACTTTACCACAATTCCACTTTTGAACATTTGACTTATATCATTACTTCATTTGAACTATTGTGAATTGCAGTTTGAATTCAGCTCATTTCCTATTTGTACATCATGCCATTTGCACTACAGCACACTGATCATGTGTCCTTCACTGGCCATTTGCACTGCCATCATTTATTTTTATTTAAATGTTATATTGCTGTTTTCACTTCTGGTTATTGCTGACTGTGTTTGTACTCTGCAAAATTTCTATACACACTATAAATCTATCAAGTTTTAGAATGCATTTTTATGTCAGTGTTATTGTAGTATTATTTATGTATGATATTTATTAATACTTTCATATTACTTTTATATTTTCAGTTTTGAAGTTTTAGTAATTTTGTTATGTGCTTTTGTCATTTTTATTAGTTTTAGTTTATGTGTGTGTGTGTGTGTGTCTGTGTGTGTGTGTGTGTGTGTCTGTGTCTGTGTCTGTTTAGTGTAGCTTTATTATTAGTTTCAGTTTTAATCATTTTATAAAATGATTTTATTTTAATATTTTATTACTGTTAGCTGACAAGTCAGCATTTCTAATTTCCAAGTTTATAAACAAATTGTCACTCAGAAATTGCTAATAAATTTCTCAAAGTATAACACTGAACTGAATGTGAAATCTGAAACATAAAAAACGTTCTATTTTCTTGTCAAATATACTCCAGTACTCTTTGTTTTATTTACAACTTTACTCTTTTCAAACAGATCTAAAGAAGAAAGTTTGATGTGCTCACCCCATAATTAGTGGCCAAAAGCTTGAAATAGCATTTTTTCTGAACTTGATTCTCTAAAGCAAGCTCCACATTGCTCCTCTGTGGTTTTAAGTCGAACCCATTTCTTGCACCATGTGATTCTATGAAAACTTGCAACATGGGCTTCCAAGAAGTCATGAACTAATTTAAGGTTTAGTGCATAATAATTAAAGGGCAGAGCGCTGGAATCTGTTTAATGCAGCCTGAAGCCACCGCACTAGAAATAATGTGAACTTCTGGAAATGCTGCAGCTTCACAGTTTGTGCAGTGAAACTAAAATCAGATGCCGCAATTCTTTATTGCACGTTAATCTTTGGAAAATGTTTTCATTGCATGTTATTATGAATTACTGCCATCATTGTTGCTGCAAGGTCGAATGACGCGAGGCGAAGAGGAACACCCTTTCCCAACCTGCCCTTATAAATCCTGGCTGCCTATGAAAAGGGGACATAGTGAACCCTGACTAAAAGAGGAAGGAATAGAGCGAGGGTGCAAGAAAACATCTGCTTCTTCTGAGAGCTTATATCTGAGAAACACTCAAGTTACCCAGCCTGCATTTCCACACCGCTGTAAGTATTCGATCATTGTGAAAGGCATGGGGAGGGAAATATGAATAAGCCGTATGCTTGCACAACATGTGCACAAAGTTTATGGTTTCATTTTGTGGCATCACTCAAAAGGGATCGAGTGCCTCCAGCACAAATGGAGGTAGGTTTATGTTTCTATGAGGCTACCCTCTTAAAAATAAAGGTGCTTAAAAGGTTCTTCACAAGCATTTTTGGCTCCACAAAGAAGCATTCAGTCAAAGTTCTTTAAAGAACCATCTCTTTCTTACATTTTTATAATCTGAAGAACCTTCTTTCGCCACAAAGAAGCTTTTGTGAAACAGAAAGGTTCTTCAGATGTTAAAGGTTCTTTATGGAACCATTTAGACAGAAAGGTTATTCTATGGCATCGTGAAGCACCTTTATATTTAAGAGTGTAATATGGAAATTAGCATTTTTTTATTTTGGCAATCAGACTGTATTCTGGATTAATACGTTTTTTACATTATTGGCTCATATGATTTATACAGTGTCTTTCATGAAGTGGTTCCTATTTAGAAAATCTGCATGTCAAAGAAGTAAAATATAATTTGTTTTCATATCTGTTTTTTAATAATGCCTATAAGGGGATAACTGTTTAAATTATGGATCACCACTACTAGTTAGTTTAAACAGCCGTGGTACATTTTATATCATATTGTTTTGCCCTTTGACCCAAATTCACATAGCAATATCTGAAATGAAATTAGCATTTTTTATTTTGGCAATCAGACTGTATTCTGGATTAATAAGTTTTTTACATTATTGGCTCATATGATTTATACAGTGTCTTTCATGAAGTGGTTCCTATTTAGAAAATCTGCATGTCAAAGAAGTAAAATATTTGTTTTCATATCTGTTTTTTAATAATGCCTATAAGGGGATAACTGTTTAAATTATGGATCACCACTACTAGTTAGTTTAAACAGCCGTGGTACATTTTATATCATATTGTTTTGCCCTTTGACCCAAATTCACATAGCAATATCTGAAATGAATTTGCGATTATTGAATTAATAATTAATATTATTTATTCATTCGGAATTATTTAAAATGTAAATTAAAATATTGTTTATTTATTATTTCTTTAAGCGTAATTTAAAACTAAATTTACATAGTCACTGTGCAGTATTTGTGAACAAAACAAAATGTGTAATTATTATACATCAATGTTTAATTATTAATAATAATTACATAGTACTATAATATTATGTATTTATTCTAAATGATTTAAAGATAAACTTAAAATGATTGTTTATTTAATAAATGTATTTATTTATTTTAAATGATTTAAAATTAAAATGATCATTTATTTATTATTTTAATTATTTAAAAGTGTCATTTAAAATGACTGTTTATCTTTATTATTATTATTATTACACTGTTTATTTTTATTATTTAAAATCTAATTAGAATTATTATTTATTACATTTATTTATTTGTTTTTAATTATTTAAAAGTATTCTTTAAAAGAACATTTACATACACCGTTTCTGTGCTTTCCCCAGTGTGAACAAAACATATCTCGTCTATTTTGCTTGTGTAACATTGTTTTAGTTATTATTTTCTCGGGGTATTGACCTGGAGAAGCAAATGTGTTTGTGAACTGTAGTGACCCCAGTCCCTTCTCAAAGCAAACATCACCTTACGGCTGAAAACACTTGTGAGGATCATTCCAAATCTAAACAATGTCCACTAACATGCACCAGATCTCATGTCATGGCTATTTCTTGTTCCCCAACAAAACTTGATTTATTGCAAAAAAACACTCATGTTTTACAAAGAACATGTTCGTCCTTCCTGAAATGTAAAGACATGTGGCTTTCATTCAGCATCATTTTGTGTCAAAGGTCACCTAGGGTATTGCACACGGACAATGTGTTTGCAGAAAGACATTGTCTCAGAGGAGTAATTACCTAAAAAAGCTCCCATCCCGCAGGGTTTTATACAAAATAAATGAGGCATTTGTGAAATCTTCTTTGAAGCGGGGTAAACCAGCCGGACCCCGGGGTCAATGACCTTATAAAGCCCATTTGCGGGACGGTTTGTTTTGATCCTGTTTGTTATATCTGGGGGACTAAAGACAGCTGCCTCCAGCATCACACACACATGCGACCTCCAAGAGAGCGACCTCATTCAAGCTGTTGGTCACTGCGTCTCTATTATACTGAGCAGTGATATATTAAATGTTTAGATGTTCTATTTACTATTATTGATTTTCTCTGGCGAGTTATTATATGAAATATTAAATAGAATTTAATTAATATACACCATCATTACATTATTATTAAAAATTATACAATACTATAATATTTATGTTTATTTTATTTAGATTTTTTAAATTAAATTTGAATTAATAAATGTATTTTTTTTATATTTGCACTTATATATTGTTGCTCTTTTGTTAGTTTTGACTGCTTCTATTGTCCTCATTTGTAAGTCGCTTTGGATAAAAGCGTCTGCTAAATGACTAAATGTAAATGTAAATGTATTTATTTTTAATTATTTAATTATATATTATATTTTAAATAAATGCAAAATTATAATTTATTGCATTTATTTATTTTAAATTATTTAAAAAATAGTGCATAATAATTTATTTATTAAAATGACTTATTTAACATGTAATTCATTCATTTTAAATTAAATGCATTTTTAATTTATTTTAAGTTATTTAAAATTAAATGTAAATTCTGATTTTTTTTTTACTAAGATTATTTATTTATTTAAAATTAAATTTAAATGTATTTATTGCATTTAAATGTATTTATTTATTTACTAATTATTATTTAAAAGTGCATTTACATAAGTAGTTGATGTGCTATATCCCAGTGTAAGTAAAACTATTTTATTTTTGTTTCT